GAGAGAGAGAGAGGACAGAGAGAGGAGAGAGAGGACAGAGAGAGAGGAGAGAGAGAGAGAGAGGACAGAGAGAGGACAGAGAGAGAGAGAGAGAGACAGAGAGAGGAGAGAGAGGACAGAGAGAGAGGACAGAGAGAGAGAGAGAGGACAGACAGAGAGAGAGGACAGAGAGAGAGAGGACAGAGAGAGAGAGAGGACAGAGAAGAGAGAGAGGACAGAGGAGGTGGTAGGCGACATGAACAGGACCTTTGGGCGCTTGTTGGTGGTTTGCTCTTCGCTCATCCTCCTCTTCCTCCCGTTGGCGTCTCCTCCTTCGGCCGGAGCGGCGTTCAGCCCCAGAGGATCCGACTGGAACCACAAGAGACGTGAGACACAACACAACAGCTCCTCTACAGGCCACACGAGGAACTACAACGACACAACAGCTCCTCTACAGGCCACACGAGGAACTACAACGACACAACAGCTCCTCTACAGGCCACACGAGGAACTACAACGACACAACAGCTCCTCTACAGGCCACACGAGGAACTACAACGACACAACAGCTCCTCTACAGGCCACACGCGGAACTACAACGACACAACAGCTCCTCTACAGGCCACACGAGGAACTACAACGACACAACAGCTCCTCTACAGGCCACACGCGGAACTACAACGACACAACAGCTCCTCTACAGGCCACACGCGGAACTACAATTACTACACAAAGACAGGTACATGCAGAGCTGTTCACCACTAATATTAGTAAATTAAGATAATAATAATAATAATTATTAAAATAAATATAATAAAAGTGTGAAAGAGGCTTACGATGACGTCATGCTGGCCCAGGACCGGCACCTCCCACAGACTCTGATTAGTGAATCTGTTAAAATAATACGGACGATTCTCTCTGCGACTCCAGCACTTAGACCAGCCCGCCTGCACCAGCTCATCTGAAACACACACACACACACACACAGAGACACAAACACACACACACACACACAGAGACACACACACACACACACACGAGATTAGACTGCACCGAGGAGGAGGAGAAAGAGACAGATGAGGCGTTACCTGGCAGCTCAGGTGGCTTCGTGGGCGTGTTTGGAGAAAGGGGCGGGGCTTGAGAGGACGCGGGGGCGGAGTCTCCCTTCACTGAGGTCTGATCAGACGCCATCTTGGATTCATCCACGCTGAAAAATCACATTTACCACAGTGAAATCATATCTACTACGCTGAAAAATCACATTTATCACACACAAAAAAACACATTTACCACACACACAAAAATCACATTTACCACACTAATTAAAAAATCACATTTACCACACTAATTAAAAAATCACATTTACCACACACACAAAAAAATAAATCACATTCACCACACTAATAATAATTTAAAAAAAATTTAAAAATCACATTTACAACACTAATAATAAAAATTTAAAAAAAAATCACATTTACCACACACACACAACAAAAAATCACATTTACCACAAACAAAAAAATCACATTTATCACACTAATAAAAAATCACATTTACCACACTAATAATATTTTTTTTAAATCACATTTACCACACTAATTAAAAATAAAATTAAAAAATCACATTTACCACACTAAACAAATTAATTAAAATAATTTACCATGCTAAAAAATTAATAAAAATCATTTACCACACTAAAAAATTTTGAAAAATCATTTACCACACTAAAAAAATTTGAAAACTCATTTACCACACTAAAAAATTTTGAAAAATCATTTAACACACTAAAAAAATTAATAAAAATCATTTACCATGCTAAAAAAAAATATATCACATTCACCACACTAAAATTAAAAATAAAAATCACATTTACCACACTAATTAAAAAAATAATAATAATAAAATAAAAAATCACATTTACCACACTAAAAAAAATAATAAAATCACATTTACCACACACAAAAAATTACATTTACCACAAAAAAAAAAAATCACATTTACCACACTAATAAAAAAAATTACATTTACCACACACACACACAAAAAAAAAATCACCTTTAACACACTGAAATCATATCTACCACACTGAAAAATCACATTTACCACAATTAAAAATCTAATTTACACTTTATTATCACATTTACCACACTAATAAAAAATAAAATGAAATCACACTTATACTTTAGTATTACACACAGGATAACCACTCTGCCACTGTCACAGCTGCACACATTACTAACACACGACACAGCGCCATCGTGTGGCGAGGAACTCAACGTACAAAAACTCATTAGATGATCCAAAATATAAGTTAGAAATTAAATATAATGTTGTATTTCATGGAGTTTAGGCAGCCAGGGTACGGCTCACCGGGGAGCGGGGTGTACGGCTCACCGGGTGGGGGGGTGTATACGGCTCACTGAGGGGGGGTTTACGGCTTACTGAGGAGAGGAGGGTACGGCTCACAGGGCCCTGAGGAGGGGGGTACGGCTCACTGGGGAGCGGGGCACGGCTCTTTGGGGCACGGCTCTCTCTGTAGCGGGGCACGGCTCTTTGGGACACGGCTCTTTGGGCAGAGGCAGAGCGGCTCCGGGTCCAGAGCCGCGGTCAGGGACGTAAACACGGGGCTGCAGCTGCGGTCTGCCGCTGCGGAGGAGCGCGGGGAGCCGCACAGAAGATGGCGGCCCGCGGTCATGAGTCGTTCAGTCGGACATAGTTACGGGCCGTGGGGACTTTCGGCTGAATTAAACTCACATTTCACTCAGAAAAGCGCCGTAATCGCGCTATAAACGCGCCGCTGTTTTCGGTGAACGCAGCGCAGCGCCATGGTTACACGCATGCGCCGTGAGGCCCGCGCTCACAAACACGGAGAAGGAGGAGGCGGGAAAAGCGGGGGGAGGAAACAAAAGGCTGCGGAGACACGGCTCCGAGCCCCGAGTCCTCACACCGAGCCCGGCCCGGCCTCACGGCGGCCCGCGGAGCTCCGGCCGCGGGGACAGAGCTCCGGGTGTCTCCCGCCGCGTGTCCCGGGGCCGTCCTCCCGCGGGGACGGGCTCCCGAGCGGAACGGGCGCTGTTGTTTAGGCGCCGCTCCGCTCTTAAGATGGCGGACCCGCCCCTGCCACAGCGCTGCGATTCCCGCTTCAGTTTAGTGCGTTTATTTCCGAACCGAGCGTCTCTCCGCGCGTTTGCACAGTCCCGTCCGCAGCCGCGGAGCTTCCGCCGCTTCCCGGCGCGTCCCGGGGGACGTGCGGGGGCTCTGGACTCACCTGGAGCGGGTCAAAGCGGAGCGCTGCGGGTCCTGTCCGTGTGTGTCGGGTCCTCGGCTCCGCTCCCTCCCCGCCGCCTCAGACATCTTTACAGGGACTCGAGGAGCCGCACTGCGCAGGCGCGCCTCTGGACCTGCTTCCGCCGCACAGCCGCCGCCATGTTGGAGCTGCCAGAGTTTGGTTCTTTCTGAAGTTTCAGGAGTTTAAATGTGAAACAAACTGAATAAACTAACTCAAGTGTGGAGTTAAATAAAAAAAAAACTCATTCCCCATGTCTCACCAGTATCTCAGGTTTCACATTTATCACATGTGCTTTGCATGACACAGTAATAACACATCACAAACAGTAATAACATCACGAATATTTAATGTTTTATTCACTTTGAGAGTCAAAGAACAAGACATGACAACAACAACAGCAACTCACGAACCTGAAGTTTGATTAAATCACAGTCAAATAAACAAAAACATTAGAATTAGAGCAGTTCTTCTCAGTGTGACGCTGATCACGTCTGCGGCGCTCTAGTGTTCATGTATCATATATTTCGTGGGCATCGGTTCTATCTTCAGTTTACATGTTTATTCATCATTATTTTCTGTTTGTTTCTGTGGTTTTACTCGAGTCCTTCCCTCTGCAGGATCAGCTCCACCGCCTCCTCCACGTCCTCCACCGTGTGTCGAGGCTGCAGCAGCTCCGCCTCCAGCCCCGCCCACTGGTCTGGGGGCGGCGGGGAGGCGGGGTCAAACACACCTGTGCACACCTGGCACACACGCACACAGGTTAGGGTCAGACCTTTTCACACGTCCAGACTGTTGTCACTCACCAGGACAGAGTGACACTCGTCTGCGCCCGACACCAGCCCCTCCTCCTCCTCAGGGACTCCCCCTGTCGCCATGGAAACCGCCTCCCCTGTCGCCACGGAGACCCTGCGTGATGCTGTCGCCGCGGTGACGGCGTTATGTTTGAGGAAACGATCGTAAAGATTCGCACCGTACACATCGGTGAGAGGATTGTCCCTGAACGACAAGAGAAGAGTGAGGACGCGACGGGAGGCACCTGACACACACGGGGACGACACCTGACACACACAGAGAGGGCGCCTGTCACACACGGGGAGGGCACCTGACACACACAGAGAGGGCGCCTGTCACACACGGGGAGGGCACCTGACACACACGGGGATGACACACACACAAGAGGGCACCTGACACACGGGGACGACACCTGACACACACAGGGAGGGCACCTGACACACACGGGGAGGGCACCTGTCACACACGGGGAGGGCACCTGACACACGAGAGGGCATCTGACACACGAGAGGGCACCTGACACACAGGGAGGGCACCTGACACACACACACACACGGGGAGGGCACCTGACACACACACACACGAGGGCACCTGACACACAGTGTGATGGGGGGGCATGTGGGAGGGCATCTGACCCGATGGCGTAGATGGTCCTGAGGCGGGCTGATGATGTCATCTGTGATGTCAGCAGGTGTTCTGCGTAGCGATAGGTCAGAAGACTCGGTTTCCCGAGCAACGCCTCAATCTGAAGCTCCGCCCCCGTCAGCCTCTTAAACACCGACTCCAGACAGAGCACGAAGACGCCGTGCCCGAACCTGTACACAACTATATTACTACTACTACTACTGCAGTACAAGTACTACTACTACTACTACTACCTCCAGACAGAGCACGAAGACGCCGTGCCCGAACCTGTACACAACTATATTACTACTACTACTACTGCAGTACAAGTACTACTACTACTACTACTACCTCCAGACAGAGCACGAAGACGCCGTGCCCGAACCTGTACACAAATACTACTACTACTACTACTGCAGTACAAGTACTACTACTACTACTACCTCCAGACAGAGCACGAAGACACCGTGCCCGAACCTGTACACAAATACTACTACTACTACTACTGCAGTACAAGTACTACTACTACTACTACTACCTCCAGACAGAGCACGAAGACACCGTGCCCGAACCTGTACACAACTATATTACTACTACTACTACTGCAGTACAAGTACTACTACTACTACTACTACCTCCAGACAGAGCACGAAGACGCCGTGCCCGAACCTGTACACAAATACTACTACTACTACTACTGCAGTACAAGTACTACTACTACTACTACTACCTCCAGACAGAGCACGAAGACACCGTGCCCGAACCTGTACACAACTATATTACTACTACTACTACTGCAGTACAAGTACTACTACTACTACTACTACCTCCAGACAGAGCACGAAGACGCCGTGCCCGAACCTGTACACAAATACTACTACTACTACTACTGCAGTACAAGTACTACTACTACTACTACTACCTCCAGACAGAGCACGAAGACACCGTGCCCGAACCTGTACACAAATACTACTACTACTACTACTGCAGTACAAGTACTACTACTACTACTACCTCCAGACAGAGCACAAAAATGTGATCAAACCTGCAGAAATATACACTGTAGTAGTAAGTATTATATAAGCTCTTACAGTTGTAGTACTGTAGCTGTAGTGCTGTAGTTGTAGTAGTTGTTGTCGTAGTACTTGTTGTACTTGTAATAGTAGTAGTACTGTAGTAGTAGTAGTAGTACTTTGGTTGTACCTGGGGCTGGGGGCGGGGCTCTTCCACAGCAGGTCGGGGTTGCAGACGATGATTGGCAGTTGAGGGGCGGAGCCTGGGGGCAGGTGGGCGGAGCCTGGGCTCCCATTGGTCAGAATGACGTCGATCATGATCTGCAGGTGACTCTCCCAATGGGTGGGCTCCCCGAACAAAAGAACCCCTTTAACGAGAGAACGAGAACAGAAGAACCCCTTTAACGACAGAACAGAAGAACAGAGGAACCCCTTTAACGAGAGAACAGAAGAACCCCTTTAACGAGAGAACAAGAACAAAAGAACCCCTTTAACGAGAGAACGAGAACAGAAGAACCCCTTTAACGAGAGAACAGAAGAACAGAGGAACCCCTTTAACGAGAGAACAGAGAAGAACCCCTTTAACGAGAACAGAACCCCTTTAACGAGAGAACAGAAGAACAGAGAACCCCTTTAACGAGAGAGAGAACAGAGAACCCCTTTAACGAGAGAACAGAAGAACCCCTTTAACGAGAGAACAGAAGAACAGAGGAACCCCTTTAACGAAGACCCCTTTAACGAGAGAACAGAGGAACCCCTTTAACGAGAGAAACAGAAGAACCCCTTTAACGAGAGAACAGAAGAACAGAGGAACCCCTTTAACGAGAGAACAGAAGAACCCCTTTAACGAGAGAACGAAGAACAACAGAGAACCCCTTTAACGAGAGAACAGAAGAACAGAGGAACCCCTTTAACGAGAGAACAGAAGAACAGAGGAACCCCTTTAACGAGAGAACAGAGGAACCCCTTTAACGAGAGAACAGAAGAACCCCTTTAACGAGAGAACAGAGGAACCCCTTTAACGAGAGAACAGAAGAACCCCTTTAACGAGAGAACAGAAGAACAGAGGAACCCCTTTAACGAGAAGAAGAACAGAAGAACAGAGGAACCCCTTTAACGAGAGAACAGAAGAACCCCTTTAATGAGAGAACAGAAGAACAGAAGAACCCCTTTAACGAGAGAAACAGAGGAACCCCTTTAACGAGAGAACAGAAGAACAGAGGAACCCCTTTAACGAGAGAACAGAGGAACCCCTTTAACGAGAGAACAGAAGAACAGAGGAACCCCTTTAACGAGAGAACAGAGGAACCCCTTTAACGAGAGAACAGAAGAACAGAGGAACCCCTTTAACGAGAGAACAGAAGAACAGAAGAACCCCTTTAACGAGAGAACAGAAGAACAGAGGAACACCCTTTAACGACAGAACAGAAGAACCCCTTTAACGAGAGAACAGAGGAACCCCTTTAAAGAACAGAGAACAGAAGAACCCCTTTAACGAGAGAAACAAGAACAGAGAACCCCTTTAACGAGAGAAAGAAGAACCCCTTTAACGAGAGAACAGAGAGAACCCTTTAGACAGAGAACAGAAGAACAGAGGAACCCCTTTAACGAGAGAAAAAGAAGAACCCCTTTAACGAGAGAACAGAAGAACAGAGGAACCCCTTTAACGAGAGAACAGAAGAACAGAAGAACCCCTTTAACGAGAGAACAGAAGAACATGGGGCGGCACTAGTTCAGTTGGTGGAGCATTCGCCCACTGATCTGAAGGTTGCTGGTGTGATTCCAGCTCCCACAGATGAATGCTACCGTTGTATCCTTGGGCAAGACACTTAACCCACCTCGCCCCTAGTGTCTGTGTATACTGTGTGAGTGGTTCCTTGTTGTAAAGCACTTTGAGCCTTGAAGGTCAAAAAGCACTATAGAAAAATGTGACCATTTATCAACATCTTTAACGAGAGAACAGAAGAACCCCTGTCACACACCTGTCACACACCTGTCACACACCTGTCACTCACAACTCTAGTCACTGTGTAACGCGTTTATACTGTGTGTGACTTGGACTTGGACCTGGACCTGGTCTTGTACTCACCCTGGATCTTCGGCAGCGTCTGAAGTTGAGACTGAAACACACAGAGGTCAGAGGTCACACATCTGAAAGCCACGCCCCTTTCCCTAAACCCCGCCCTCTGCAATACAAGGAAGTATACAGTCTTTTATTTTGACAGGACCTGTGTACAGTCTTTTATTTTGACAGGACCTGTGTAGAGTCTTTTATTTTGACAGTACCTGGGCAGGTCGGGGGTCATGGGCCACGGCGTCCAGCAGGGGGCAGTGTTTCCTCACGTCATCGATCGTCACGATTTTATCAAAACCCAACCTTTAAAATCACAGAAAGGAAGAACCAGGACTAGACCAGGACTAAACCAGGACTAAACCAGGACTAAACCAGGACTAAACCAGGACTAAAGCAACCTTTAAAAACACAAATTAAAACTGTTAAAACTGTTCTCGTAGTGTTTTATTTTGAAGGAGACAGTAGTCATGTTTTATTTTGACGGAGGCAGTAATATTGTTTTATTTTGAACGAGACAGTAGTCGTGTTTTATTTTGAAGGAGACAGTAATAGTGTTTTATTTTGAAGGAGACAGTAGTCATGTTTTATTTTGAAGGAGACAGTAGTAGTATTTTATTTTGAAGGAGGCAGTAGTCGTGTTTTATTTTGAAGGAGACAGTAGTCGTGTTTTATTTTGAAGGAGACAGTAGTCGTGTTTTATTTTGAAGGAGACAGTAATATTGTTTTATTTTGAAGGAGGCAGTAGTCGTGTTTTATTTTGAAGGAGACAGTAGTCATGTTTTATTTTGAAGGAGACAGTAGTCATGTTTTATTTTGAAGGAGACAGTAGTCGTGTTTTATTTTGAAGGAGACAGTAGTCGTGTTTTATTTTGAAGGAGACAGTAGTCGTGTTTTATTTTGAAGGAGGCAGTAGTCGTGTTTTATTTTAAAGGAGACAGTAGTCGTGTTTTATTTTGAAGGAGGCAGTAATATTGTTTTATTTTGAAGGAGGCAGTAGTCGTGTTTTATTTTGAAGGAGGCAGTAGTCATGTTTTATTTTGAAGGAGACAGTAATCGTGTTTTATTTTGAAGGAGACAGTAGTCGTGTTTTATTTTGAAGGAGACAGTAGTCGTGTTTTATTTTGAAGGAGGCAGTAGTCGTGTTTTATTTTGAAGGAGGCAGTAATATTGTTTTATTTTGAAGGAGGCAGTAATATTGTTTTATTTTGAAGGAGACAGTAGTCATGTTTTATTTTGAAGAAGACAGTAGTCGTGTTTTATTTTGAAGGAGACAGTAGTCGTGTTTTATTTTGAAGGAGACAGTAGTCGTGTTTTATTTTGAAGGAGGCAGTAATATTGTTTTATTTTGAAGGAGGCAGTAGTCGTGTTTTATTTTGAAGGAGGCAGTAGTCGTGTTTTATTTTGAAGGAGGCAGTAGTCGTGTTTTATTTTGAAGGAGAAAGTAGTCGTGTTTTATTTTGAAGGAGGCAGTAATATTGTTTTATTTTGAAGGAGGCAGTAGTCGTGTTTTAGTTTGAAGGAGAAAGTAGTCATGTTTTATTTTGAAGGAGGCAGTAATATTGTTTTATTTTGAAGGAGGCAGTAGTCATGTTTTATTTTGAAGGAGACAGTAGTCGTGTTTTATTTTGAAGGAGACAGTAGTCGTGTTTTAATTTGAAGGAGACAGTAGTCGTGTTTTATTTTGAAGGAGGCAGTAGTCGTGTTTTATTTTGAAGGAGGCAGTAGTCGTGTTTTATTTTGAAGGAGACAGTAGTCGTGTTTTATTTTGAAGGAGGCAGTAATATTGTTTTATTTTGAAGGAGACAGTAGTCGTGTTTTATTTTGAAGGAGGCAGTAGTCGTGTTTTATTTTGAAGGAGACAGTAGTCGTGTTTTATTTTGAAGGAGACAGTAGTCGTGTTTTATTTTGAAGGAGACAGTAGTCGTGTTTTATTTTGAAGGAGACAGTAGTCGTGTTTTATTTTGAAGGAGACAGTAGTCGTGTTTTATTTTGAAGGAGGCAGTAATATTGTTTTATTTTGAAGGAGGCAGTAGTCGTGTTTTATTTTGAAGGAGGCAGTAGTCATGTTTTATTTTGAAGGAGACAGTAATCGTGTTTTATTTTGAAGGAGACAGTAGTCGTGTTTTATTTTGAAGGAGACAGTAGTCGTGTTTTATTTTGAAGGAGGCAGTAGTCGTGTTTTATTTTGAAGGAGAAAGTAGTCGTGTTTTATTTTGAAGGAGGCAGTAATATTGTTTTATTTTGAAGGAGGCAGTAGTCGTGTTTTAGTTTGAAGGAGAAAGTAGTCATGTTTTATTTTGAAGGAGGCAGTAATATTGTTTTATTTTGAAGGAGGCAGTAGTCATGTTTTATTTTGAAGGAGACAGTAGTCGTGTTTTATTTTGAAGGAGAAAGTAGTCATGTTTTATTTTGAAGGAGGCAGTAATATTGTTTTATTTTGAAGGAGGCAGTAGTCATGTTTTATTTTGAAAGAGACAGTAGTCGTGTTTTATTTTGAAGGAGACAGTAGTCGTGTTTTATTTTGAAGGAGGCAGTAGTCATGTTTTATTTTGAAGGAGACAGTAGTCGTGTTTTATTTTGAAGGAGACAGTAGTCGTGTTTTATTTTGAAGGAGACAGTAGTCGTGTTTTATTTTGAAAATCAGACCTGTGGGCGATGTCTCTGATTGGTCCTTGTCCCGACACCAGCACGACTTTGTGATGAAGACTCTTCATCATCGTCAGGGGGCTGTACGACAGGACCACCTGCTCCGGCCGCACCTGCCAATCAGAGAGAAGAGAGAGAGTCAGACAGCCAATCAGAGAGAAGAGAAAGTCAGACAGCCAATCAGAGAGAAGAGAAAGTCAGACAGCCAATCAGAGAGAAGAGAGAGTCAGATGGCCAATCAGAGAGAAGAGAGAGTCAGATGGCCAATCAGAGAGAAGAGAAAGTCAGACAGCCAATCAGAGAGAAGAGAGAGTCAGACGGCCAATCAGAGAGAAGAGAGAGAGTCAGACGGCCAATCAGAGAGAAGAGAGAGTCAGACGACCAATCAGAGAGAAGAGAGAGAGTCAAACGGCCAATCAAAGACAAGAGAGAGTCAGACGGCCAATCAGAGAGAAGAGAGGGTCACCTGTCCTGTCACCTGCAGCAGCTCTGACAGCTGATTGGCTCTCACCTGGGCGTGCAGCAGCTCTGACAGCTGATTGGCTCTCTGCTCGCGGTGACAGCTTCCCGCGTTGGTCACAAACACCACTGGAAACAGGAAGTCCTTGTTTGGGCGCTGGAGCCTCTTAAAGGCGCGGCGCGCGGCCGGAACCACGGAGCGACCACGAACCAGAACCCCGTCCACGTCCAGAAGAAGACCGGCCTGAACCAGAACCACACGCAGAACTGAACCAGGACTGAACCAGGACTGAACCAGAACCACACGCAGAACTGAACCAGGACTGAACCAGGACTGAACCAGAACCACACGCAGAACTGAACCAGGCCTGAACCAGAACCACACGCAGAACTGAACCAGGCCTGAACCAGAACCACACGCAGAACTGAACCAGGACTGAACCAGGACTGAACCAGGACTAAAACAGGACTAAACCAGGACTAAACCAGAACCACACGCAGAACTGAACCAGGACTGAACCAGAACTGAACCAGGACTAAACCAGGACCGAACCAGAACCACACGCAGAACTAAACCAGGACTAAACCAGGACTGAACCAGGTCTAAACCAGGACTAAACCAGGTCTCAACCAGAACTAAACCAGGACTAAACCAGGTCTAAACCAGAACTAAACCAGGACTAAAACAGGACTAAACCAGGACTAAACCAGGTCTCAACCAGAACTAAACCAGGACTAAACCAGGTCTCAACCAGAACTAAACCAGGACTAAACCAGGACTAAACCAGGACTGAACCAGGACTAAACCAGGACTAAACCAGGACTAAACCAGGACTGAACCAGAACTAAACCAGGACTAAACCAGGTCTAAACCAGGACTAAACCAGGACTAAACCAGGTCTAAACCAGGTCTAAACCAGGTCTAAACCAGGACTAAACCAGGTCTAAACCAGGAAAACTAAACCAGGTCTAAACCAGGTCTAAACCAGGACTAAACCAGGTCTAAACCAGGACTAAACCAGGTCTAAACCAGGACTAAACCAGGAATAAACCAGGACTAAACCAGGTCTAAACCAGGTCTAAACCAGGACTAAACCAGGTCTAAACCAGGACTAAACCAGAACTAAACCAGGACTAAACCAGGACTAAACCAGGTCTAAACCAGGACTAAACCAGAACTAAACCAGGTCTAAACCAGGACTAGACCAGAACTAAACCAGGTCTAAACTAGGACTAAACCAGGACTAAACCAGGACTAAACCAGAACTAAACCAGGACTAAACCAGGACTAAACCAGGTCTAAACCAGGTCTAAACCAGAACTAAACCAGGACTAAACCAGGACTAAACCAGGACTAAACCAGGTCTAGACACACACATGATCCCAGTACAGGACTTTTGAAGCGTCCCTCAGAGTCGTGGGATTTTGGGTAGAAACAGAAACAGAAACAAAAAAACAGAAATCAAAAACGTGATCGTGTCAAATCCGTAAATAAACCGAATCTGATTTCACCAAAACATGAAAATATGAAACAAACAACAAGTAAAATTCAAGTCAAACCTGAGGAGCTCCACACGACGCACGTCTGAAGAACTGAAGACCTGCTCTAGACCACATCCTGAACCGGGTCTGAACCAGGTCTGAACCGGGTCTGAACCGGGACTGAACCAGGTCTGAACCAGGTCTGAACCAGGTCTGAACCGGGTCTGAACCGGGACTGAACCAGGTCTGAACCAGGTCTAAAGAAGGTCTGAACCAGGCTCAAAGCAGGTCTTCCTCAGGTCTTGGTCAGATCTTGGTCAGGTCTTCCTAAGGTCTTGCTCAGGTCCTGGTCAGGTCCTGGTCAGATCTTGGTCAGGTCTTCCTCTAGTCTTGCTCAGGTCCTGGTCAGGTATTCCTAAGGTCTTGCTCAGGTCCTGGTCAGGTCTTCCTAAGGTCTTGCTCAGGTCTTGCTCAGGTCCAGGTCAGGTCTTCCTCAGGTCCTGGTCAGGTCTTGCTCTTGGTCTTGTGAGTGGTGTTGTGTGGAGCGGCCCAGGTCCTGCTGTAGTCCCGGTTTGGTCCTCGTGTGGTCCTCGTGGGTCTCGTGGTCCTCGTGGGTCTCGTGGTCCTCGTGGGTCTGGTGAACAGGAGCGGTGAGGTTCTTCATTAACTCGTTAGACTCTGGAATCTTCCTCAGACTCGAACACCGACGAACTTTTACACTTTTACATCTTCCTCCTTTTCTTTGGTTTCTTTTTGTTTCTTTTTGTTTGTTTTTGTTCCTCTGGGGTTGTGGGTTCGATTCCCCAAAAGCTCCTCCCACCTGGTGATGTCATCAGACCTGGTTTAGTCCCGGTTTAGACCTGGTCTAGTCCTGGTTCAGTCCTGGTTTAGTCCTGGTTTAGACCTGGTTTAGTTCTGGTTTAGTTCTGGTTTAGTCCTGGTTTAGTCCTGGTTTAGTCCTGGTTTAGTCCTGGTTTAGTTCTGGTTTAGTCCTGGTTTAGTCCTGGGTCCTGGTTTAGTTCTGGTTTAGTCCTGGTTTAGTCCTGGTTTAGACCTGGTTTAGTCCTGGTTTAGTTCTGGTTTAGTCCTGGTTTAGTCCTGGTTTAATTCTGGTTTAGACCTGGTTTAGTCCTGGTTTAGTTCTGATTTAGTCCTGGTTTAGTCCTGGTTTAGACCTGGTTTAATTCTGTTTTTTCTTTCAGTTCCTTTATTGGTTTTATAATTTTTTATGTTTTATTTGTGTGTGTTGGTATTTTTTTTTTTTTTTGTTTTATAATTGAAAAAAAAAAAAAAAATTAAATAAAATTCTGTTGTTCAGAAATAAACAAAAGTCCATTAGTCCAGTTTTCTGCGCGTGTGATTGGCTGGTTGTTAAATGGAGGCGTGTGATTGGCTGGTGGGTAAATGGGGGCGTGTGATTGGTTGGTGGGTAAATGGGGGCGTGTGATTGGCTGGTTGGTACATGGAGGCGTGTGATTGGTTGTTCTTTGTGGTTTTAAATGTTCTTTTGTGTTGTTTTATTTCTCGTGTTTATTTCAGACATATTCACTCATTCTTAGATTTTATTCATTTTCAGGACGATTTTTAATCATTTAAATATTATTATTTCTGAAAGTCGATGGAAAAATAGATTTAACTTATAAAGAAACACTTATTTCATATTTAATAATAATAAAAAGTTATAATTATTCTACTTTTAGTGACGCTTTTCCTCGGGGGTCAGAGGTCAGTTTGCGGCAGGCGGAACCTCTTTTTCGTTCCGCTGTTTCCGCCCGGACCCGCTCCCCGCTCCGTCACTTCCTGTGCTGTGTTTTAAAGCGGCCCGGGCCCAGTCCGCGGCTGAATATTTTTGGTTTGATTTTGGTGAATCCGCTCGGATCGGCGCCATCGGAACCGCAGTCATGGTGAGCGGGGCCCGGGGGGTTCGGTACCGGCCCGGTCCACGCGCGCAGACCGGTATTGACGCGAGGATGAAGCCGAAAGTGCGCGCTCTTCCCCGGGGAAAGTTCGAGGCTCCCGCGGCGCTTCGGACGTTGATCTTACGTCGCGTTTTGTCTTTGAGTTTCACGTTTTGTTTTTTCTTACGCTCGTTCGGTTCAAGTTTCCTCCGGGGCCGTGAAAACTACAACAACAACGAGGCGAAGTTTAAGTTTATTTGTCCGTAAATGAAGCGAGAACCCGAACACGACCCGAACAGAACCTGTGGTCCGCTCCGGTCCAGTCATTCATCTACCCGTTTACCCGATCATTCATTCATTCATCCATACCTCCATTCATTCATTCATTCTGCTCCGGAGGGTCTTTACTCGGTCTTTACTCGGTCTTTACTCGGTCTGTAGTCGGTTTTGACTTGGTCTGTAGTTGGTTTTTAGTCTGTCTGTAGTCGGTCTGTAAAGACAGACTACAGACAGACTAGTCAGTCTTTACTCGGTCTTTACTCGGTCTTTTTACTCGGTCTTTTTACTCGGTCTTTTTACTCGGTCTTTTTAGTCGGTCTTTTTTACTCGGTCTTTTTACTCGGTCTTTTTACTCGGTCTTTTTACTCGGTCTTTACTCGGTCTTTTTACTCGGTCTTTACTCGGTCTTTTTACTCGGTCTTTTTACTCGGTTTTTACTCGGTCTTTTTAGTCGGTCTTTACTCGGTCTTTTTAGTCGGTCTTTACTCGGTCTTTTTAGTCGGTCTTTTTACTCGGTCTTTTTACTCGGTCTTTACTCGGTCTTTTTACTCGGTCTTTTTAGTCGGTCTTTTTACTCGGTCTTTTTAGTCGGTCTTTTTACTCGGTCTTTACTTGGTCTGTAGTTGGTTTTTAGTCTGTCTGTAGTTGGTCTGTAAAGACCGACTACAGACCGACTAGTCAGTCTTTACTCAGTCTTTTTACTCGGTCTTTTTACTCGGTCTGTAGTCGATCTGTAGTCGGTCTGTAGTCTGCGTGTAGTTGTGTGTGTGTGTGTTTGTGTATATTTGTGTGACAGTTGTGTATTTGATGTGTGTATTTGTGTGTGACAGTTGTGTATTTGATGTGTTTGTGCGTTTCAGACGGTGTGTGTGACAGTTGTGTGTTTTTGTGCGTTTCAGACGGTGTGTGTGACAGTTGTGTGTGTTTGTGCGTTTCAGACGGTGTGTGTGACAGTTGTGTGTTTTGTGCGTTTCAGACGGTGGTGTGTGTGACAGTTTGTGTGTGTTTGTGCGTTTCAGACGGTGTGTGTGTGACAGTTGTGTGTGTTTGTGCGTTTCAGACGGTGTGTGTGACAGTTGTGTGTGTTTGTGCGTTTCAGACGGTGTGTGTGACAGTTGTGTGTTTGTGCGTTTCAGACGTGTGTGTGTGTGACAGTTGTGTGTGTTTGTGCGTTTCAGACGGTGTGTGTGACAGTTGTGTGTGTTTGTGCGTTTCAGACGGTGTGTGTGACAGTTGTGTGTGTTTGTGCGTTTCAGACGGTGTGTGTGACAGTGTGTGTGTTTGTGCGTTTCAGACGGTGTGTGTGACAGTTGTGTGTGTTTGTGCGTTTCAGACGGTGTGTGTGACAGTTGTGTGTTTGTGCGTTTCAGACGGTGTGTGTGACAGTGTGTGTGTGTTGTGTGGTGTTTGTGCGTTTCAGACGGTGTGTGTGACAGTTGTGTGTGTTTGTGCGTTTCAGACGGTGTGTGTGACAGTTGTGTGTTTTGTGTTTGCGTTTCAGACAGTTGTGTGTGTTTGTGCGTTTCAGACGGTGTGTGTGACAGTTGTGTGTTTGTGCGTTTCAGACGGTGTGTGTGACAGTTGTGTGTGTTTGTGCGTTTCAGACGGTGTGTGTGACAGTTGTGTGTGTTTGTGCGTTTCAGACGGTGTGTGTGACAGTTGTGTGTTTTTGTGCGTTTCAGACGGTGTGTGTGACAGTTGTGTGTGTTTGTGCGTTTCAGACGGTGTGTGTGACAGTTGTGTGTGTTTGTGCGTTTCAGACGGTGTGTGTGACAGTTGTGTGTTTTTGTGCGTTTCAGACGGTGTGTGTGACAGTTGTGTGTTTGTGCGTTTCAGACGGTGTGTGTGACAGTTGTGTGTGTTTGTGCGTTTCACGGTGTGTGACGTGTGTGTTCAGACGGTGTGTGTGACAGTTGTGTGTTTGTGCGTTTCAGACGGTGTGTGTGACAGTTGTGTGTGTTTGTGCGTTTCAGACGGTGTGTGTGACAGTTGTGTGTTTGTGCGTTTCAGACGGTGTGTGTGACAGTTGTGTGTGTTTGTGCGTTTCAGACGGTGTGTGTGACAGTTGTGTGTGTTTGTGCGTTTCAGACGGTGTGTGTGACAGTTGTGTGTTTGTGCGTTTCAGACGGTGTGTGTGACAGTTGTGTGTTTGTGCGTTTCAGACGGTGTGTGTGACAGTTGTGTGTGTTTGTGCGTTTCAGACGGTGTGTGTGACAGTTGTGTGTGTTGTGCGTTTCAGACGGTGTGTGTGACGTGTGTGTGTGACAGTTGTGTGTGTTTGTGCGTTTCAGACGGTGTGTGTGACAGTTGTGTGTGTTTGTGCGTTTCAGACGGTGTGTGTGACAGTTGTGTGTGTTTGTGCGTTTCAGACGGTGTGTGTGACAGTTGTGTGTGTTTGTGCGTTTCAGACGGTGTGTGTGACAGTTGTGTGTTTTTGTGCGTTTCAGACGGTGTGTGTGACAGTTGTGTGTGTGTGTGTTTGTGCGTTTCAGACGGTGTGTGTGACAGTTGTGTGTTTGTGCGTTTCAGACGGTGGGGAAGAGCTCGAAGATGCTGCAGCACATCGACTTCAGGATGCGTTGTATTCTTCAGGACGGACGCATTTTCATCGGGACGTTTAAAGCTTTCGACAAACACATGAACCTGATCCTGTGTGACTGCGACGAGTTCAGGAAGATCAAGTCAGTCTGTGTGTGTGTGTGTTGTGTGTTTTTGTGTATGTTTGTGTGGGGTGTTGTGTGTGTTGTATGTTGTGTGTTGTGTGTTGTGTGTGTTTTAAATGTGGTGTGATGTTTGTGTGTGTGTGTGTGTGTGTTTGTGTTGTGTTGTGTATGTTTGTGTGTTGTGTGTTTTAAATGTGGTGTGATGTTTGTGTGTGTTGTATGTTGTGTGTTTGTGTGTGTGTTGTGTTGTGTTGTGTATGTTTGTGTGTTGTGTGTTTTAAATGTGGTGTGATGTTTGTGTGTGTTGTGTTGTGTGTGTGTTTGTGTGTTGTGTGTTTTAAATGTGGTGTGATGTTTGTGTGTGTTGTATGTTTGTGTGTGTGTGTGTGTTGTGTTGTGTGTGTTTGTGTGTTGTGTGTTTTAAATGTGGTGTGATGTTTGTGTGTGTTGTGTGTGTGTGTTGTGTTGTGTATGTTTGTGTGTTGTGTGTTTTAAATGTGGTGTGATGTTTGTGTGTGTTGTATGTTTGTGTGTGTTGTGTGGTTTAAATGGTCTGTGTTTGTGTGTGTTGTATGATTGTGTGTGTTGTATGTTTGTGTGTGTTGTATGTTTGTGTGTGTTGTGTGTTTTTGTGTGTTGTGTGTGTTTTAAATAGTCTGTGTTGGGTGTTGTGTGTGTTTTAAATGGTGTGTGGTGTGTGTTGTGTGTGTTGTATGTTTGTGTGTGTTTTAAATGGTGTGTGTTGTGTGTGTTGTATGTTTGTGTGTGTTTTAAATGGTGTGTGGTGTGTGTTGTGTTGTTTGTGTGTGTTGTGTGTGTGTGTGTGTTGTGTGTGTTTAAATGTGTGTGTGTGTGTTTTGTGTGTGTGTGTGTTGTGTGTGTGTGTTGTGTGTGTTTTAAATGGTGTGTGTTGTGTGTGTTGTATGTTTGTGTGTGTTTTAAATGGTGTTGTGTGTGTTGTGTGTGTTGTATGTTTGTGTGTGTTGTGTGTGTTTTAAATGGTGTGTGTGTGTGTGTGTGTGTTGTGTGTTGTGTGTTTTAAATGTGTGTGTGTGTGTGTTTGTGTGTGTTGTGTGTGTGTGTGTGTGTGTGTATGTTTGTGTGTGTTGTGTGTGTTTTAAATGGTGTGTGTGTGTGTTTGTGTGTGTTGTATGTTTGTGTGTGTTGTGTGTTTTAAATGGTGTGTGTTTGTGTGTGTTGTATGTTTGTGTGTGTTTTGTGTGTGTTGTGTGTGTGTGTTGTGTGTTTTAAATTGTCTGTGGTGTGTGTGTGTTGTATGTTTGTGTGTGTTGTATGTTTGTGTGTGTTGTGTATGTTTGTGTGTGTTGTGTGTGTTTTAAGTGGTGTGTGTTGTGTGTGTTGTGTGTTTTAAATGGTGTGTGGTGTGTGTTTCAGACCTAAGAACACGAAGCAGCCGGAGCGAGAGGAGAAGAGAGTTCTGGGTCTGGTTCTGCTCCGAGGAGAAAACCTGGTGTCCATGACGGTGGAAGGACCTCCTCCTAAAGACGTGAGAACCTCTGTCTCTGTGTGTCTCTGTCTCTGTGTCTGTGTGTCTCTGTGTGTCTCTGTGTCTGTGTGTCTCTGTGTGTCTCTGTGTGTATCGGTCTGTGTGTCTCTGTCTGTGTGTCTCTGTCTGTGTGTCTCTGTCTCTGTGTGTCTCTGTGTCTGTGTGTCTCTGTGTCTGTGTCTGTGTGTCTCTGTGTGTATCGGTCTGTGTGTCTCTGTGTGTCTCTGTGTCTGTGTGTCTCTGTCTCTGTGTCTGTGTCTGTGTGTCTCTGTGTGTATCGGTCTGTCTGTCTCTGTGTGTCTCTGTGTCTGTGTCTCTGTGTCTCTGTGTCTCTGTGTGTCTCTGTCTCTGTGTGTCTCTGTGTGTCTGTGTGTCTCTGTCTCTGTGTGTCTCTGTGTGTCTCTGTCTCTGTGTCTGTGTCTGTGTGTCTCTGTGTCTGTGTGTCTCTGTCTCTGTGTGTCTCTCTGTGTGTCTCTGTCTCTGTGTCTGTGTCTCTGTGTCTCTGTCTCTGTGTGTCTCTGTCTCTGTGTCTCTGTGTGTATCGGTCTGTGTGTCTCTGTCTCTGTGTGTATCGGTCTGTGTCTCTGTGTGTCTCTGTGTCTGTGTCTCTGTGTGTCTCTGTCTCTTCCTCACGTGTGTGTGTGTCTCTGTGTGTCTGTCTCTTCCTCACGTGTGTGTGTGTCTCTGTGTGTCTCTGTCTCTTCCTCACGTGTGTGTGTGTCTCTGTGTGTCTCTGTCTCTTCCTCACGCGTGTGTGTGTCTCTGTGTGTCTTTGTCTCTTCCTCACGCGTGTGTGTGTCTCTGTGTGTCTGTGTCTGTGTCTGTGTCTCTGTGTGTCTGTCTCTTCCTCACGTGTGTGTGTGTCTGTGTGTCTCTGTGTCTGTCTCTTCCTCACGTGTGTGTCTGTGTGTGTCTGTGTCTCTGTCTCTTCCTCACGTGTGTGTGTGTGTCTGTCTCTTCCTCACGTGTGTGTGTGTGTCTGTCTCTTCCTCACGTGTGTGTGTGTGTCTGTGTCTCTGTCTCTTCCTCACGTGTGTGTGTGTGTGTGTGTCTGTCTCTTCCTCACGTGTGTGTGTGTCTGTGTCTCTGTGTCTCTGTCTCTTCCTCACGCGTGTGTGTGTCTCTGTGTGTCTGTGTCTCTGTGTCTGTGTCTGTGTGTCTGTCTCTTCCTCACGTGTGTGTGTGTGTGTCTCTGTCTGTGTCTCTGTGTCTGTCTCTTCCTCACGTGTGTGTGTGTGTGTGTGTGTCTGTGTGTCTGTCTGTCTCTTCCTCACGTGTGTGTGTGTGTGTCTGTGTGTCTGTGTCTCTGTCTCTTCCTCACGTGTGTGTGTCTCTGTGTCTCTGTCTCTTCCTCACGTGTGTCTGTGTCTCTGTGTGTCTGTCTCTTCCTCACGCGTGTGTGTCTGTGTGTGTGTCTGTCTCTTCCTCACGTGTGTGTGTGTGTCTGTGTCTCTGTCTCTTCCTCACGTGTGTGTGTGTGTGTGTCTGTGTGTCTGTGTCTCTGTCTCTTCCTCACGTGTGTGTGTGTGTGTCTGTGTGTCTCTGTCTCTTCCTCACGTGTGTGTGTGTGTGTCTGTGTGTCTGTGTCTCTGTCTCTTCCTCACGTGTGTCTCTGTGTGTCTGTGTGTCTGTCTCTTCCTCACGTGTGTGTGTGTGTGTCTGTGTGTCTCTGTCTCTTCCTCACGCGTGTGTGTGTGTCTCTGTGTGTGTCTGTGTCTCTGTCTCTTCCTCATGCGTGTGTGTGTCTCTGTCTCTTCCTCACGCGTGTGTGTGTCTCTGTGTGTCTCTGTCTCTTCCTCACGTGTGTGTGTGTCTCTGTCTCTTCCTCACGTGTGTCTGTGTCTGTGTGTGTCTCTTCCTCATGCGTGTGTGTGTCTCTGTGTGTGTCTGTCTCTTCCTCACGTGTGTGTGTCTGTGTGTCTGTGTCTCTCTCTTCCTCATGCGTGTGTGTGTCTCTGTCTCTTCCTCACGCGTGTGTATGTGTGTTTTTGTTGTTTCAGACGGGCATCGCCCGCGTGCCCCTGGCAGGTGTGGCAGGTGGTCCCGGCGTGGGCAGGGCGGCCGGCAGGGGCGTCCCGGCGGGCGCTCCGATGGCGGCAGCGCCGGCGGGTCTGGCGGGTCCCGTGAGGGGAGTGGGCGGACCCTCGCAGCAGGTGAGGCCCCGTTACCATAACAACAACAACAACCCTCACTAAATAGATTTATATCTGTTTAGATTTAGATTCAAGTAAAACGACACTTCTGACACTTTATTCAACTAAATAAATGTTTTTATTTTATTTTAGTCCAACCAGGAACTAAAACCACAAACCTAAAAACAAAACAAAAATCCAAATGGGAAAACAGGTGTGAAGGTTTTTTATTTTTAATTTTATTTTATTTTATTTATTTTTTTTTGCAAAACTATATTTAGTTAAAAAGAACAAACTTGACTCCTAAAAATTGTAATAAATTTTATTTTTTTTGTTCTTTAGTGAAATAATTGTTGAAGTTTGATAAAGATGTTTCATGTGTCAGTTTGTTTTTAGTGCAGAAAGACGAGACGCGACGAGTGATTCAAAAAAACAAAAACTAAACTGCAGCTCGTGTGTGAACCGGAAAAAAACAACACAATAAAATCAACAAAACTCTGGCGGGGTCAGAGGTCAGACTCTGGTCTTTAACCTTTGACCTCTTGTGCCTCAGGTCATGACCCCTCAGGGCAGGGGCACCGTTGCCGTGGCGGCGGCCGGCGCCAGTATCGCGGGAGCGCCCACGCAGTACCCCCCCGGACGAGGAGCCCCGCCCCCTATGGGCCGAGGAGCGCCCCCAGGTCAGACTCACTCCTGATTGGCTCCCGTGTCTGTGTGCTCTTCTCTGATTGGCTCCTGGGTCTGTGCTCTTCTCTGATTGGCTCCCGTGTCTGTGTGCTCTTCTCTGATTGGCTCCTGGGTCTGTGCTCTTCTCTGATTGGCTCCCGTGTCTGTGTGCTCTTCTCTGATTGGCTCCCGTGTCTGTGTGCTCTTCTCTGATTGGCTGTTGTGTTGCAGGTATGATGGGCCCGCCCCCTGGCATGCGCCCGCCGATGGGTCCCCCAATGGGGATGCCCCCGGGCAGAGGTGCTCCCATGGGCATGCCTCCCCCCGGCATGAGGCCCCCTCCCCCGGGCATGAGAGGTGAGTCCGAGTCAGGGTCCGGGTCCAGGTCCAGGTCTAGGTCCGGGTCTGTGTGTTTCGTGTTTCAGTCTCTAACTCCGTCCTCTCTCCTCAGGACCCCCTCCCCCCGGGATGAGACCGCCCCCGCGCCCCTGATGCCCTCCCACACCCCCGGAGCCTGGGCCTGGTCCTGGTCCTGGTCCTGTTCCTGTTTGTACAGTTTTTTTCTTTTGTACTTTAGTTTTTAATAAAGTCGTTGACACACTTTGGTCTGAGTCATTTTATTGTTTTTTATTATTATTATTATTATTATATATATATATATATATATATTTTTTTTTTTTTTTTTATTATTATTATTTTTTTGTATTTTATTATTATTTTTTTTTTGTATTTTATTATGCTTTTTTTATTTATAATTTTTATTTTTTTCTTGTTAAAGGCTGAGAGCAGAGCGCCCCCTGCTGGTCGTTTGTGTCATGTTCTTGGTTCTGTGATTTTCGTTGTTTTCGTTCGCCACAAAAATGTTCACATGCTAAAAAAGAAAAAAAATCACAAAACTCTGACAGAACTTTTGAATTTAGTAAATAAGTTTAAAAATACAATTTCAGTGATTCTGTCGTTGCTGAAATAAATTAATTTGGAAAAATAATCACGCAAAAAGTAAAATACTAAAACGGCACAAAGAGAATTTCTTGAACACGTCGCACAAAAACAACTGTAAAAAAACAAATGATTGACAGGTTTGTGTAGCTGTGTGTCTGAGGCGACATCGCACACACACAATAACACAACACAATAACACAACACAATAACACAACACAACTCTGCAGGGACTGAACACGGATCTATGAGACACAAATACACACACACAAATACACAGACTTGTTTGGGTCAAATACAGAAAATCTGCTTCAAAACTCCAAGAAAATCACAGTTTTTGTTTGTTTTATTATTACAGACCCGACGTGTCCCAGGTTTTGATTTGGAAACTCGGGTCACCCTCGAGTCAGCTTCGAGTCAGCGCAAAAATATAAGAAATAAAGTCATGGGGAAAAAAATTTAACACTGTGATTGTATTAATCTGGTTCTGTTCGGTTTTGTCTGTTTTTTTTTGGTTTGTTTTTGGTTTTTTGCAGTACCGGGAAATCACGTGACTGGCCGCAAGTCACGTGACGCGGTGTTTTTGGCGGAAGTGAGTCTGGGTCCGCGGCACGAAGAGTCTGAAGGTAAAACTCTAAAGTCTCTAAAGTCTCTAAATTTAACCCGAGGAAACTTCACAACCAACCGACCCCTGCAGAACCTCAGGCCGAACCTCCAGAACCTCCCGGCGGGGACGGGAGCGGGGACGGGAGCGGGGACGGGAGGGACGGGACGGGGACGGGAGCGGGACCGGGGACGGGAGCGGGAGCGGGGACGGGACGGGACGGGGACGGGAGCGGGGACGGGAGCGCTCAGACCCGGGGTGAAACGTCTGCAGGGTCCGTGTCAGGTTCTGGAGGTTCTGGACGTTTCACAAATGTTTGACGGAATCTAGTTTTTTTTGTGTGTGTGTGTGTTTTTTTTGTTTGTCTTGTGACTTTTCGCGTTAATCACGTGACTTATGAAACAGTCACGTGATTAACGCGAAACTTTAATCGGAACTAAACCATGTCTAAACCAGGTCTAAACCAGAACTAAACCAGGACTAAACCAGGACTAAACCAGAACTAAACCAGGACTAAACCAGGACTAAACCAGGACTAAACCAGGACTAAAACAGGTCTAAACCAGGTCTAAACCAGAACTAAACCAGGTCTAAACCAGGTCTAAACCAGGACTCTAAACCAGGTCTAAACCAGGTCTAAACCAGGTCTAAACCAGAACTAAACCAGGACTAAACCAGAACTAAACCAGAACTAAACCAGGACTAAACCAGGACTAAACCAGGACTAAACCAGGACTAAAGCAGGTCTAAACCAGGTCTAAACCAGAACTAAACCAGGTCTAAACCAGGTCTAAACCAGGTCTAAACCAGGACTAAACCAGGTCTAAACCAGGTCTAAACCAGAACTAAACCAGGACTAAACCAGACTAAACCAGGACTAAACCAGGACTAAACCAGGACTAAACCAGAACTAAACCAGGACTAAACCAGGACTAAACCAGGTCTAAACCAGAACTAAACCAGGTCTAAACCAGGTCTAAACCAGAACTAAACCAGGACTAAACCAGGACTAAACCAGGTCTAAACCAGGTCTAAACCAGTCTAAACCAGAACTAAACCAGGACTAAACCAGGACTAAACCAGGTCTAAACCAGGTCTAAACCAGAACTAAACCAGGACTAAACCAGGACTAAACCAGGTCTAAACCAGGTCTAAACCAGAACTAAACCAGGACTAAACCAGGTCTAAACCAGGACTAAACCAGGTCTAAACCAGGTCTAAACCAGGTCTAAACCAGGACTAAACCAGGTCTAAACCAGAACTAAACCAGGACTAAACCAGGACTAAACCAGGTCTAAACTAAACCAGGTCTAAACCAGGACTAAACCAGGACTAAACCAGGACTAAACCAGGTCTAAACCAGGTCTAAACCAGGTCTAAACCAGGACTAAACCAGGACTAAACCAGGTCTAAACCAGGTCTAAACCAGGACTAAACCAGGTCTAAACCAAGTCTAAACCAGGTCTAAACCAGGTCTAAACCAGGACTAAACCAGGTCTAAACCAGGTCTAAACCAGAACTAAACCAGGACTAAACCAGGTCTAAACCAGGACTAAACCAGGACTAAACCAGGTCTAAACCAGGACTAAACCAGGACTAAACCACTAAACCAGGACTAAACCAGGTAAACCTAAACCAGGTCTAAACCAGGTCTAAACCAACTAAACCAGGACTAGCAGGTCTAAACCAGGTCTAAACCAGGTCTAAACCAGAACTAAACCAGGACTAAACCAGGTCTAAACCAGGTCTAAACCAGGTCTAAACCAGAACTAAACCAGACTAAACCAGGACTAAACCAGGTCTAAACCAGTCTAAACCAGGACTAAACCAGGTCTAAACCAGGTCTAAACCAGACTAAACCAGGTCTAAACCAGGACTAAACCACTAAACCAGGTAAACCAGGTCTAAACCAGGTCTAAACCAGGACTAAACCAGGACTAAACCAGGTCTAAAC